GCAATATCACGTCTTGTACAATTCATTATGTACATTAAACTACCCACAACTCTAGAGTATTCTAGAGAAGATACACCTTCACCATTATTCTTCTTCAACTTACAATTTGGATCAAATGGAGTAACTACCGGCTTACTTTCAAAATGACCAAATTTTCTTAACGCTTTCTCTATGTAATGAGATTGAGAAAGTATATACCCACTTGGATTTCTTGTTATTTTGATTCCAAGGATAACATCAATAAGACCAAGGTCTTTCATATCAAAGTTGAAATTCAACATCATTTTAGTGGAATCAATGACACTTCTAGTTGTGCCCATTATCAACATATCATCCACATATAAACAAACAATGACGCAATCTTTATCTATAGTTTTAACATAGACACATTTGTCACATTCATTTATCTTAAATCCATTAGATAACATAGTATGATCAAACTTCTCATGTCATTGTTTGGGTGCTTGTTTCGACCCATAAAGAGACTTGACAAGTTTACAAACTTTCTTTTCAAGTTCTTTTACAACAAACCTTTCAGGTAGTCCAATATAGATTTCTTCATCTAAATCTCTATTTAAAAATGCAGTTTTTACATCTATTTGGTGTATTTACAAATTTTATAAAACTGATATAGCAATTAACATCCTTATAGATGTAATCCTCGTATAGAATAGGTATTAAAGAAATCTAGCACTTCTTTCTGACCATAGCCTTTAGCTATTAAACGGGCTTTATATTTGTCAATAGTGCCATCAGCCTTTAGCTTTCTTTTGAAAATTCATTTACTTCCAATTGGTTTACTTCCAAGAGGTAAATAAACCAATACCCAGGTATTGTTCGGCAAAATGGATTTTATCTCATTATTAATAGCTTATCTCCAATAAGGTACATCTGGAGATGACACAACTTCTTGAAAATTTTGAGGCTCCCCATATAAGTTTTGAAATCAGGTCCAAAGGAAGTAGCTTTCTTAGCTCTTTTGCTTCTTCTAGGTTCGATCTTAGTTTCCTGATCGTTTTGACATTTCGAAGAGCTAGCCTCATGATTCATTTTGGTACTATTACCTTTCAGTCTTTCTTCTCTAAAATGAAATATATCCTCAAAGAATTCAACTTCAATAGATTCCATAATAGTATTATTATTAATATCAGGTATTTCTTATTTAATCACCAAGATTCTATAAGTAGCACTATGCATAGCAT